CCTTGAGGTTGGTCTCGCCGTCGAGGTTCTTGGTCTCGATGAAGCAGCTGTCCTCCTCTTCGCTGGTGGCGCAGATGATGATGTCGGCAGGGATGCTTTCGTTGTTGGTGAGGTAGACAAAGTCACCGACGGCGAGCTCCTCCCAGTTCTTGTTCTTCCAGCGGGGCGCCTTCTTGGAGAAGAAGGCGTGCTCCTCGTCGGCGGTCAGGATGCGACCCTGGTGCCTGATGCGACCGTCGTCGAGCTGCTCGTAGTCGGATTCGAACTGGCTGTGGCGTGTGGTGGAGCGTCGCGCGAGCTGGTGCGACATGCGAGGAGGCGCGTTGGCCTCACCGGGCACGGGAACATTGCCACCTACGGCGGTGGTGGCGCCGCCGCCGGGCGCGTCTGCAGGCGGTGCGATGGGCTCGTCTTGCTGATGGGCGTGGCCTTCCTCGGCAGCGGCTTCGGCCTTGATGGCCATCTCCTTCTGAAGCTTGGACGACTGCTTCTTCTTGCCGCCAAACAACGTATCTTTGACGGATTGGAAGAGGGCGGAAGCGCTCCTGCCCCTGGGCTCCATTGCGTTGGGGTTCTGCCAGCCGCCACCGGTGAGTGTGCGTACCTTGAGACGGTTAATGTGACGATCGGACTGGTGGCGCTTGATGTCTTCGTAGCCATCCTTGGCCATGGTGATGGCGAGGACGGCGAGCAGGGGCAGCATGGAGACACCGGGGTTGATGGTGGTGAACTGCGGGAAGAACTGGAGGATGACGATGAGGAGGAAAAAGAGGTTGGCGACACGACGGAACTGCTCGAGCAGATTCTTGAAGACGAAGTTGTAGAGGGTATATTTGGCGGTCAAGACCTGATTGCTGGCATAGACCCAAGGGTATTGTGGCTTTCCCTTGTGGTCGAAGGCCTGTTCTGGAAGAGGCTCATTGAAGTAGACGGAGCGAGGTGCGGGTGGCGGTCTCTGCTTTTTGAAGACGACGTCGGGGTCGAGGCTGATGTTGGCGAGCTTGGTGCGGAAAGCCTTGATCTTTCCTGAGGCTGCTGAGGCGGGTGCAGCGGAAGAAGCAGCCTTGGACTGCTTCTTGTTGGATCCACGCTTGCCAAACATGGTGGAGAGCGACGCGGCTGGCTGGTGAGGATGCGCAGCTGCTTAACGCCGAAGCTTGGCTAGCAGCCCGTACTGCGCAGGTGGCTTGCAGCGGCAAGAGCTGTCGGGAGAG